AAGGAAATTATGTTTCAGTTTTCTTCTTTCATGGCGCCAGTCATTTAACTTCTGTCCAGCCATTCTTATCTTGTCTTATCGCCATTATCTCATCTCGTTCTTTTGCCCTTTGTCAGCTGAGGAAGATAGTTCTGTAATTAAACTAGTCCTGCGAAACTTGAAAATATTAACTGATTCTTGTTGTTTGACTTCTCCATTAATCATTATTCAGCATGTTATTTTAACCTAAATTAACAGAAAAGGGGTGAAGAGAGAGTGAAATTGATTTTGTCACTGTCATAAGCACAATTAATCTACAAACATTTACCAGAATTTCACATTGCTATCCATATGCATTTTTAAAGTATTATGGAAAGTATTTTAAAATATGCTTAAGAGAAGTAATCCTTTCGTTATTTTACCCTCCTTTCCTGAAATTGAGTTTTTCTGTATAAAAGAAACATAGTGACACTACAAACATATTGGAAGATTGTATTGGAAGATTGTCAGTAAGAGATATATTGGAAGATTGTCAGTAAGAGATATATTGGAAGATTGTCAGTAAGAGATATATTGGAAGATTGTCAGTAAGAGATGTTTCATTTCTTAAAAATATCATATTTAAGTATTAGCCTGTCCTTATTAAGTATGCACTTTAGCACCAATTATGGATAAGCATGACATAGCAGCACACTCATAGCATCTGCCCTTTTGTTTGATGTATTCCCAATTGATTCTTGATGAGCCACATGTTGATTTTATGAACACGGATATAAATTAGCTGTCATTGCTGTATTTCTTCTTGCATTTTGGAAAAAAGTGTTAAAAGTTTAGAACCTTCTTTCTACAGAGCAGCAAGTAGTAGATTATTTTCAAAGTTATGGGATCCTACCATAAAAAAAGTGTATTTATGGACAGGGGGGGTCAGCTGCAGGTGGCTGATAAAACAGTCTTAGATTGGAACAATTACCTGTGGCAAGCTTACATATAGCTTTCTAAACAGAGCTTCTGGTAAAATTGTTTGTCCTTACAAAATAGTAGAAATCAACAAAAGCCTTTTCCTGAAGTGAAAAACAAAGCTGGTTGAATTCTGATAGTATATTAAATGAAGATGTGTCAATTAATTTCAGAATTTCACAGGAATGATTGGTGCAGCTTTGAAGGGATCTCCGCGAACTTTCGTTGTTGATGGGATAATGCATCAGTACCAAAAATATTACTACAGGATAAAAGAAATGTAGTTAAAAAAGGTACCATTATTTCCTTGCATGTTTCCCCCCTCTTTTTTTACTAATTTTGTCCTCCAAAAATCAAAAAGGGAAAATTGTGCAGTTAATTTAATTTCTAAGGTACACATACAGTAAGAACATTACAAATGAAAAGTAATCATGTATAAACTAAGACAATATTATTTTTTTAATGAAGTATGTCTTTCAGTGAGAATGTATATTAATATAAAAATTACAATATCTAATAAGATATCATCATTTCTGTTTCTCTGCAATGGGAATTTCACCCATTTTTATTGTTGTCTCTGCTACTCTTTAGGCCTGCAGAGAAAATGGCGAAAGTTGTTACGTGTTTAGCACTACCCAGAGGCCACATGCAATATGCTGCAGATGCATGTAACACCAACCCTGTATTGCTATTTGTGTGGCTTACTTCAAATTCATGATGCAACATGATTGCTTACAGGCTCATCTTTTTAGATTTGGACTTGCTGACTCCCCAGACTATGGGCCTCTTCTACTCCAATAACTGCACAGCATCTTTTTTCTTGTACTACTCTGCAAGATGTTCTTTCATCATCTGCAAGGGCCCACTAGCGGCCGAGCGGTAAAGACGCTGAACACTGGTAGTTCGGTCCGAGGTTCGAATCCCGTGAACGGGCTGTCTGCATGGGCGTTTTTGTGGTTTTCCCCATGTGTAGCGTGTATACGAGCCATGAAAATTATGAGTCCTCCACGAAGGCATCCCTCCCTTTAGGCAGATAGCCCTCGTGTGCTTTGCCATAATTAAATAATCCAATCATCATCTGCAAGATGTTTCTTTATGGCTCTCTCAACTACAGGGGCAGTTTCCTTTATTAATAGGATAGCAAGATGCCATATGCTCGAAAGAGTCTAGGTGTGCATAATTAAAAAAAAAAAAAAAAAAAACTCTTTAGGCCTGAAATCATCATAAATAATTAGGAAAGATGGCTGTGCAGCTGACATAGCAAAATCATAGACTGAATGTCAATTTGTGTTTCCTTCATTGTGATTGGTCACTGTCGTAGCTAGAAAAGATAGATTTGGTGTGACCTTTGTAGGTAGTTTATTAGGGTTTGTCTTTGTAAGAGAAAAACAATCACTTAGTGGGCGAATCCATTTTTAAATTTAGGGGAGCTCATTCGGGAAGGCAGAAATTGCATGAATATTCTTAAACTTTTCAGAACCTGGCATTAAAAAGCTAGGGGAAAAAATACATGAGGAAATATGGTATTTATTAATGATGGAATGAAAACAAGTTAAAAAATTAAGCCCTTTGCTTTTCGTGCTTGTTCTTTATACATGTAAGGTTAAAGGCAATACAGTACAAAGTCCGTAATCTGGACTCGTTGGGACTTCGGCGATTCCGGATTATACATCATCAATTTAAATCTGGTAAGATGGTATGCAGAAATTATACAATTAAAAATATGAAACCGTAATTTATGAAATAAAGAGCAATTATGATCTAAAGGGTATCAAATTTTACAAAAAAAAAAAAAAAAGCTTAATATTTATTTGTTTACTTTATTAAACATTTCTTTTAACGCGCGCATGCGTAAATTACGCATAGTATTAAGCATACATTACGCATAGTCGAAATTAGAAAATTGGAACCAGAAAACTGTTTGATGTGTATTCGTGAAATTTATAATGACGAGGAAATTGATTTAAATCATATCAAAGACGGAGTACATCGAGATGAAATACTACATTTAGTAAGGAATTATAAGCCGAATAAAATAAAAACATCTGCCCTGAAGATAAGGATAGTGCTGACAGATCAACTTCCAGTTCATTGCGCGCATGATCGAAGGACGTCCCCTTAGCGAGCTGCCACTTTGTTGCTTATTTTGCCAAGCTTTACCAACATCCTTTCGTTTAACCTGAGAAGTGATCATTATGCAAAGGTAGAATCACATCTCATATTTTCTCGCGTTAACTTTATTATTTGCCCTCCCACTGTATGCCACATGCCAATGAGCCTATTAATCGTAAAATCTTTCCTCTCTGCTTTATGCTTTTGTGCTGTATCGTGTTTATATAAAAAATCAAAAATTCAAAAAAATGATTAAAAATCTAAAAACTAAAAAAATTATGTATTCTTAAGTTTTATAAATTCTCGCTATCCCTAGACTTACTCGAGCCATGTGGCTCCCTCTGTTGAGCATCAAGTTTACTACTTATGCAGTTTTCCTATTTCTGCTCGCTTTTATGTAATTCTGATGAGGAGGTACTCCGCAATTTTTAATCATTGGCATTGTTCATTGCGCGCCGCGACGTCGCACCCCGCAGAGCAGCGGGAAATTGATAAACAGATTTCGGAATGGTTAGAGAAACATATCATTAGGCCAAGCTGTTCTGATTACGCAAGTAATATCGTGCTAAGTAGGAAAAAATTCGGTTCATTTAGACTGTCTGAACTTAAACGACACTTAAGATCTAGTGAATCCCTTTCCAAATATTTAATTGCCATGCGTGAAATAGCCAGTCGCAGTTCTGTTGATGATTCATCAATTTTTGATTATGTAATCAATGGGATACCGGATCAGAGTAGTAACAAAATTATTTTGTATGGGTGTAAAACTATTTCTGAATTCAAAGAGAAATTAAAAATTTATGAGAAAGTCCGCGTTCCAGATATGAAGAATAAGGGTTATTCAAGTACTAACACACAAAATAAAGCACGCGCTGTACCAAATAAGAGTACAGAACTAAGGTGTTATGGCGCGTAATGTATGCGCATTCTTTACGCGCATGCGTAAAGCATAGAGAATAAAAGTTTGTGGCTTTGAGGTCCGGATTATAGATCATTCCGGATGTCCGGATTACGGACTTTGTACTGTATATGAAAGTATATGAAAATTCAACTATCTTAGTCTATTGTAGTTTATGATTTAATTACTGTATCATTGGATAGTTTATGAAGTTAGAAATATAATTGATTCATCAAAAAGAAGACTAATTCTTTTGTACTTTTATTATTACCAGGTAGAAAGTTAGCTTAATTCATTGTACCCTTGGGAGAAAAATAGTAGCATCTGATTATCTAAATCCTCATAAAAAGTCAATAATTCATTGCCAATTTTTTTAATCACCAAAAACATTTGTTTGGTTTTTCTTTGTCTCACAGTTACTGCTGTTCATGAAAAATAACAGAACAAAGCATTTTAAAAAACAAGTAGTTTTCTAAGGGGGAGGGAAGTCCTATGTGACCAATATCAGTGATGATGATTAAATGCAAATTGTGTAAACCTGTGTGTACTCAAACGTGTTTAGTATGTGCATATGACGGTTGGGTGTTGTTGCATGAATACCCCAAAAAAAACTCCATTTAGAGTCAAAATAGGAGTGGAAATAATCGAAAAGTACCAAATAATGCCTGTTATAAATTGAATTATAATACAGAAAAACAAATAAAGAAAGAAAATAAGAAGATTTATGAAATTAAGCGAAAAAATAACTCAATATATTTACATATGGTAGGCCTATTCTGCACTTGTAGATCATGTAACAATCTCTTTTGAAATACTATAATTCCAGATCAAAGTGGTTGATAAATGCAAACTTAGAAGAATTGTAATTGGATCAGGTATATCACCTTATAACATGTATATTTTGAAGTATGTGATAGTCATACGTCTTCCTTCAATTAAAGAAGAATTAAGTTTGATTGTTTGTTTGTATCAATTCTCATTTATCTTTTATTAATACATAGTGTGCCATGTCAGAGTTAACAAATTTTTGTTTTAATGAGTTTAACTATTTCAGAGCATCATGAAGTATTGAAGACATGTTGGAGAATTCTGAATTCATCTGGATAGTTTGGCCTTCTTTTTAGTAAGTTAACTGAGTAGACTTTTTAATGCATCTGCAAGATTTCTATTGATATTCTTCAAATAATATGCTTAAAGTTAGTATTCTTCCTAGTCATGTTTAAAATTAGTATTCTTTGTTATTATTACTGGGTTGCCACGCTACCTGGAAAACCGGAAAAAGGGAATTCAAAAATTGACTAAGAAAGGTCAGGGAAAAATCAGGGAGTTTAAATATTTTAGTCAAAATCTGATAAAGTCAAGGAATTTCATATGCTGATCCCCCCCCTCTCAAAGCGATTTTTACACCAACGCTGAAAGCTGTCACTTTTCTTGACGAATTATGTATCGCATGAGCGTCATTCAGGCAGCTGGCATAGAGCTAGTCCAGTCGAATTGTCTTTTAGAAAGGCAAAGGAAGTTTCCAACAACTTTGGTTTCCAGTAACCTCGAAATTGAGGGATTTGCATGTGCATGTGCAGTTGTATGTGCATGTGTTGTACAAAAGAAAATACCTTCCCATTCTTGTATTAAAAAAAAAATTGGTTCATTCCTCGTATACAATACACACAGGATTTGGTGAAACGATGATGAACAGTAAATATGTCATTTTTTGGTGTTGGTGATAGTTTTCAAAGTCGTGCCAAGGCCGTACCGTATTCTAGGATTTTACTACAAAATCTTTAAACATCCCTTTTTTTAATAAATGCCTTTTTTTTTTTTTCATTTTGCAGGAAAATAAAAAAATAGTAATCAGTCATCTAGACTAACGATGTAATACAATTATATTCGCCATAATCTGTAATTAACTTTATTTTAATGCTATTTGTATCCTTTAATGTGACTTCTTCATTCTAAATTTATTTATTATTAGTTAATAATACTTCCACACAATTTTCTCTGGCATACTCCTGAAATTAATTCGAGCAGTATGATGACATACCATTATGAAATTTAATGCACATATCTTTTGCTTATGTATGCTGCTAAACAAATGTAAAATATCTAAATTTATTTTAAAATATCATTAAATAGATTTCTTTCTTTCGTTTAGCTGCAAAATGTCTGTAAAAAAAAAAAAAAAAAAAAAAAGACATTTTTTGCTCCAGATTTAGCAGATTCGAATCTCAATCTTCAGTGGAAAAAACAACTCTTATTATAGTTGTAATAGTAATGTTTTGAGGATAAGTCATATGTAATTGGCCAATTTTGGTGTTTTCACATAATGTAACATAATTAACTTACCTCTCAGCTCAGCCAATGCACATTGCACGGATGGACTGGAATTTTCTTTAAAAACCTGGAAAAGTCAGGGAATTTCATTTTCCTATTTCAGTGGCAACCGTGTTATTAATTACCATTTTTCAGTTCCGTGGAGAAAAGAGGAGGGGCTACACGAAATTAGAATTTCTCCATTGCTAAAAATAATTCTGTAATATGCTTAAATACAGTGTTATTAGTTATAATGTTTAATTCATATTAGACATTGAAAATGCTATTCTCATTTGGAAGCCCTAAATGGAGCAGATTTTAGTTTTTCCTGTAGAAAAATAATGTGCAGCTATGAATTATATATTTCACCTTTTCAATGTTTTATTTTAAATATTTGATATTAAAAAATGTAAAACTGTAATTGTTCTATTCTCCAGTTCGGTTCTAAGTAAATATGAAAGTAATACAGGTTCAGAATCTGTGTAGGTCTGAAATGGGAAAATAATTTTGTAATCAGATACTTTATTGCTACCTTTTAAATTATACATAAATATTACAGTAAAAATTTTCAATGTTTCATATATCTTCATGTGTGCATGTTTTAGCATCAGGAGCTGGGCATATACAGTCCTCGATTGCATTAGCTTTGAAAATATTTCCAGTAAAATTGCCTGACTGATTTTCTTAATTGAATTACAACATTTTATTTGTGATTCTGTGTAACTAATATAAGTCTGTAATGCAAAAAGGAAAAAAACAAATTTTACTGAAGGAAATAAAAATACTGTATAAAGTCAGGGATCCTGAATCATTGATACTTCATACATTCTGGATTTCAGAAATGTCTAGATTTTAGATTATCAGTTAAAATCTTGTATGATGATATGTAGAAATTAAGGATAAAAGAGTTTGTAAGAAAAAATGAAGCATTTGTGTAGTGAGCTACGGACGTGTACACCGATTTCCAAATGAAAGGCCTGGCTCCCGAATGCACAGTTGGACGGAGACAAACCGGTGGTGGGGGGTATTATGGTGTGGGCAATGTTTTCATGGACCACATTAGGACCCATAATCCCAATATAACAATCCCTGACATCTGTGCACTTTGTGAACATCATTGCAGACTAGGTTTACCCAATCACAACATCAGTGTTTCCGGTGGGGGATGGTGATTACCATCCAATAGACCATTTGTGGGCCACCTGGAAAACCAACTTCGTGCTGCCGTGCTACCCCCTCGCAATGTGTGGGAGTTGCAGGACCAGTTGGTTAGCGCTTGGTACCAGATACCTCAGACTGTGCATCAGCACCTTGTAGAGTAAATGCCACACCGAGTGCTGGCAGTTTTAAGGGCTAAAGGGGTCATAATGTAATGATTCTTCGGTGGGTGGGTGTATATATATATATATATACGAAAAAATTTACCTGGAATATGTAATATGATATATATACTGGAAAAATTTAGAGTTCATGGTTGAAAAATCTTCCTTGTTACTCTTACTTTTCATTGATGTCATCTTTCTCATTATTCTCTTTGATCATCACTTTTATTATAATGTTTTTTGTGTGTTTCTATTTCTATGTAAGTGTGTGTATATATATATATATGTTGTTGTTCTGTAGACAAGCATGGAAGTTCTGGATAAGCCTGTCTTTGTCCCACCGAGGAAGAGAGGTTCTAAATCTTCATCCAGGTCTAGTAATGAAAGTCTTCAGATGCTTGGAATGGGATCTGTTAATAATTCCTCATCTCAGAGCTGTACTAAAATTGATCATCGAGCTAACAGGAAATTGCATCAGCCAGTTCCTCCAGAACAGGTTAAAGAACGGCCAAATGTTAAAATTAATTCCAATTCCCAAATTCATAAAGCAGGCTCTCCTGGAAAGAGATCGCTTACATATCATAATCAGTCTACAAAGACAAATAATGGTAGAAGTGATGAATCAGATTTAAACAGTGATGTGTCTGATTGTGTACATATCAATGATAGTGGTTATGCGGAGATAGAATTATCTAATGAACGATCTGCTTTAAATTCACGTTCAGTCTCTTCTATTGGTTCATGTGCAGGAAGTTTTGTCACCATGACAGGTACTGTAAAAAGAGGGCGTAAGAAAGGACAAACGATGGATATGAAAGTTCAGATGTCACGTGAAGAACTTGATGAATTAGAGCATAGTATAATGTCTCAACAAATTGAAGATGATGATAGATGCTTCTTTGGCTTACGTAAAGGGCCTCATATCCTGACTCTGAGTTTAATTCTAGTCCCTTTTGTCATGATTCTGTCGGCAGCATATTCTTTTTACATGGGAACCATGACATGGTATAATATCCTTGTATATTTTAGTGAAAAGAAAACAATTTTTCACAAGATATTTGTTAGCCCCTTGTTGATTATTTCATATCCGTTCTTAATTACTCTATCTACAATTGGTCTAGGTGTATATGCCGCTGTTGTTCAAATTTCCTGGTACTTTGATAATTGGAAACGAGAAGTCCAAGACTGGGAAAAAGGATTTTATGGATGGTTGTGTGGTGTTGTAGATCTTGAAGATTGTTCTCCATATGAAGTTGTTATATTAACTGAAGTGTTACCTCCTCCTGAAGAAGTTAAGCAGAAGCAACAAATTGCTGATACAGCTTTGTAATTATTATACATGTTTGTACCTGTATTAAGTTCATATGAATTGTATAAGAATTTTTCTCTTGATTTTTTTACTACTACTTTATGAATTTATTTTATATGTATTTGTAATTAACAATTTTGCACACTTCTTTGAACAGTTTACATATAAATTTAATAAAATGTTTTTAAGACACAGTATGCAGATTGCTGTCAGAATCAGCTCGACTGCAAATTGATGGATGTAGAGTTATACAAGTTCAAAATATACTGTAGATTTATTTACTTAAAATTAGAAGTTTTAAAGCGAACGTTTTGTTTGGCATGTTTTTTCTAATGTATAATCCAGATTTTAGTATTCCTTATATTACTTATGGTGAAATCCATTCATTTCATTATTATGTTTGCTAGAAGCTGTATGGTAGGATAACTGGTTTAAAATACTTCAGCATCAGGATTGTCCATTTGGTATCCTGCCTTATCTGCCAAGTCTCATAACTGACATACCAACTATTTCTGATGTTTAGTTATATTATTCTTGATCTGAAATGCCATCTTTTTAGCGAGTTCACATTTTTTAAGCAAACATTTTGCCAGGTATTATTATAGCTATCTTCATTTTTGTACTTAAAGTAGTTCTATTTTCTAATGTTTTTCAGCATTAATCATTGTATTATGAAGACTTTACAAACTTTTGCTCTTTAGTATTTCACAGCAGAAAATTTCAGGAATTCACTTTCAACAGCACATGCTGTTAATTGCTATATATATGCAAGTTATGTGTAAAAATTTATTTTTTAATAAAATTTTAATGTTATAAGCATATGCAGATCTGTGTAGTATTAATTAAATGTTGTCCAGTGCAGTGATCTCATCAAAGTAAACTGCATTATGGCAAAAGATTTTATTTCTAGTTTTAGTAACTGCTTTAGAGCAATTTGTTTATAAAGCAATATCTTAAAATATGGTTCAAAAATATTAAATGTAACTTACGTTTTTTTTCTGCTTATTTACATCAGTTGCTGTAGAAGTTAAATTTTCTGTCGACTGATATGGCCATCTGAGTGAAGTGTGTTTTACTTCTAGTTCTGAGGTATGATTACTTTGAAACTGATATATGGTCAGCTTTTGAAAGTTACAAATGAAGTTGTGGAAGAGTGTATGGCAAGTAAAGTTAGTGGAGTTTTGCATTTGTAATTTACTGTAACTGGATGTTGAATCAAATATTTTTGGTGTTTTTCTGTTAACAAGGCACCACTTAGCATTAAATTTAAATGTTGGCTGGAAATCTTAATTAAATGGCAGCAACCCTAATGATATGTAAAGCATCATAAAAAAATAATTTGTAGTAACAATAATATGTCACATAATATATATAATGTTTAATGTGTGCAATGACAAATTTGCATGGTTAATGGATTTTTACAAGCAAAAAGAGATTCCTATGTATATAATAACTGCTGTTCTCTCCACATACACAACAATTTATTTTCTCTTTAAAATATCAGAGTATTGTACATATCCAGCTCTGTGCATAGGCTTAGCATTGTGCACATTAAATTCTGCACAGCAATTCATGATGCAATGTGAACAGGCTGCCACAGCTGGTGTCTGGTACCTCCTTAACATCCAGTGTTTTAATACAAATAAAATTGAAGTCCAAAAAAAAATGTTTCTAAGTGCAAATGTTAAAGTTTTAGTTCTCCAGCTTTAGAAACATCATTAGTATTAATTTTATTCAATATATAATTTACGATGTACTTGCAGTTCTTGCATAGTCTGCTATTAATAGAATTCATCCCATTGTTGTGACACCATGTTTATCTGTAATGGAAGCTAAATCGTGCTTCTTTGCTGCAATTTCTTGGTCAATAGGATAATATGTATAACTTTTTTAACCATTATTTTGATTTCAAAAAATTGGTATGTATATTTTTTAAATAATGCTTTACTTATATGCAACTTTTGAGACTGTGAAATGCAAAAGTGTTTTACTGAAGTAATATAATTTTGCTATGCAAATGATCATAATAATGACATAGAGAAGAAATATATGTATTTAAAGGAGAAAATCTATACATATCGTTTAGGCATCATTGAGGAAACAGAAAGACTGCAAAAGATAATGTCATAATTTTAAATTTTGTGTACTTGTAAAATCCTGTTTAAAAATACATTGATTAATAACATTTTACATGAATATCTGTATATAAAATAGTGGATTTTTAATCAGTGATATTGAAATTTCGTAAGAATCTACAGAATTATAAACTTTTTAATATTTATATGTACAATACTTAGAAAATAAGTGCATATACACTAGATGCTGAGCCTTTTAGTAGCAAATTTATTTTGGATTTCATTTTAGATAATACGTTTGTTTCACAGATTACAAAATTAATTCAGAAAAAGATAGAAAACTGATTGTGGAGTATTTTTAATCTCCTGTGACTGTTTGAATACTTAAAAACATTGAACATATGTTGTTATTGCCTGCCATTTTCTGCAAAATCTTGTGCCTGAATATTTTATGCCTGGCATAAAAATTTGTGCCTAACAGATTTCTTCAGAATCAGAATTATCCTGATTTCCATACCTTTTTCTGCTGAGAAAAATATTTAATGCTGTTTCTCTAAAACCCAAATTTTTGTTAAATTTTCAACAACTTATAGGACCTTGTGTTCTTCTGAGACAGGTCTGAAGGAAAATTTGATAAATATAATTTTTTGATGTAATACTGAATCATTGGTTCAGTGCAATTTTTCTACCCTAGTGCTGTCACTGTCTGCATGTTTTTATGGTAGAAGAGCATAACAATTTACTGACCAAATCTTATCTTTATTATTGACTAAGAAAAGTCATTTGATGCTAAACTGTAGTACAACTTCTGTTTTTAGTGCTATATGATTTCTATAGTTTACTTTTATTAAAATTTTTCTTATGTATTATATGATATTTAGAGATGCAATTCTACGATTTAACCACAATTTTATGACTAAGTATCTAATATCAAAGAGTGTGCATTTGTTGCATCATGCATTGCATGCACATATCACCATCAAAACTGTCCTGTTTCTTCCAGCTTGCTGCCTTTCATTGCTGCGGCACATAAGTATATTACAAATTCCTTCATTTCTTATATGGTAGCAGAAACATAGCAAAAACATCTAATAACTGATGATCATGGTATTTTCTAAATCTGATAGTTTATTTGTTTTGCGCATAACAGATGGCAAACATTCCATGCTTGTGTTTCATAATCATGATATCTGCTCAGCTCATATGATTTACCATTCTTGTGTCACATCTATTTGGATTTGGCTTTAATAACATGATTTTGCTATTTATTGTTACTAACTTTGACTTTTCTAATTAAAATTCAAGAAAAACAGAGACCAATTGCAAGTTGTTCCTTAAAAGCATACATATTCTTTCCTGTCCTCATTTTTGGTTCTTTTAATCCTGGTGTAATAGTGGCCAAGTAGATAAAATTGCTAAACATGGATCTTTCTGATTAGTGAAAAGGCTGAGTGCATTGACATTTTCTGAGTTTTTCACATGGGTAACATAATACAAGTCTCCATAAATTAATTATTAGTCAAGAGATAATGGGCATATATATATATATATGTATGTTATTGATTGAAGTTTAGAGTTACAAAATGGATTCCTTTTTTTTAATGGTAAAAGACTTAATATTTCAGAACAATTGCTTGCATATGAAAGACTAATATTACATATACAGGGTGATTCAAAATTCATCATCGATATTTGGTAGGAGGTAGGGAATAGGGAAAGAATGAGATTTCACATAAGAAAGTATGGGCACAGATGAATGCATGGTAGTGTAGAGAGCACTGTATATACACAACTTCCATACATAAGCACAGCTGTTTGAGGTGTGCAGCCAGTCGTCATTCGACTAGGTGACTTTGCAGAAGTAATATGAACTAGTAATGCATGGAATGAACTTGCAGATATGCATGTAAATGCCGGCAATATTCCAGAAGGTCCGGTTGTCCATGCAACACCATTGTGTCTCATGCATTCTAGCACATGGTCAGCAGTTCGAGCACCTGTTGTAAGTCTGTAAAACCAATGCAAAGAAATGTTACATGTAAGATAGTAAATGTGTTTTTTTTTTTTTTTTTTTTTCTTACTACTTCCTTTTTATGTGTTCTTTCCATTATTAAACTGGGTTCATTTTGCCCTACTACAATGCATATGCACCCATGCATTCCTATGTGAAATCTCCTTTTCCTATTTCCTACCTCCCCACCAAATACTGATGATGAATTCTGAATCACCGTGTATATGCATGCAGCAGTAAATTTCAATGTAAAATGTTATAAGTTTCAAAACTGATAAACTAATTAGAATGTTTATGAGACTAATGAATATCAGATTTTAATTTCTTTAAAAATATTTCTTAATAGCAAGTAAGATTTTATTTCTTTGTTATATGAATCTAAGTAATTTCTGTTGTGAAATGAAAACACACAAAGCTGTCATAAAATTATAAATTAATGGTATTGTGGTTATATCCAGCTTTTATAGCTGAGATTTTAATATAATTTAATTGTAATATTTTAAATTGAAAGCTGTAAAATTTGATATCCCAGAAGGACTTCATTTTTTTCAATTACTTTATCAACATTTTATATTACACATGCCTTTGAAAAAGACAACCTGGAATATTGAAAAGAAAATGCTCTGAAATTGTTAAACATAGCAAAATGATTCAAATTAAAATGCCAAAAAATAAATGGCATCTAATTATAGTTGATATTTGCTTTATTTATCATATCGCAGATCATGAAACTGTTTGGTCTTATTATGCATCTGCTGAAGTAGGGACTTGCTGTTGTGATGGTTTCTTCAGTCCTTTGCCATAGATGGAGACCACAAATATTGCCATCCTACATAATGATTTTGGCAATTTAACTGAAATAACTGTTGAACGAATCGGTCAGTTAAGAGTGTAGTTCTGGAAACTGTTCTACAGTGCTAGGTAAGATAGGGGATTCCAGTAAAATAGGAATGGATTGATCCACCTTTTTTTGAACAGGCACTGAAGAAATTGCATACATCCTTACCCCCCTCTCTGACCAGTTCACCTAAGTTTAGGTTGTTTTTGTGCATTTAAACATTCGACTTCTTTTGTTAAAATTGTGATATGTGAGCATCCCAAATTCATCACTAATTAAAAATATAAATGCAGTAGTTTTCATAATATGCTATTCTTAACTGATTTTTCAAATGGGACTTAATAAACACTGGAATGAAAATTCTTGGTATCATATGTGCGAGTACCTTTCACCTTCCAATGAATTTTGATTTCACCAATATAAACACTGACTGCTAAAATTAGATTACATCGATAATGCTATCTAACTTCATTCAATACTTCCACTTTTGTCATAGTAGCTGTATTGGTGGATTTACAAATTGGGAAATCTGTTCACCTGAACTTTTGGAGGTATCTCATCTTAAAACACATGGTAGGTTTTCTGTTTTTAAAAAATTAAGTAGCATAAATTTGCACTTTTTGGAATGCAGGGCTCCTCACATAATTGTGACTTCAACATCCCAAAAATCTGTCTTCGAGTACCTGGATGTATACTTAAATCTTGAAATAATGTAAAACCAATTTATATTAAAGAGGTATGTTTTCTTTTGATATTGAACTTTTTCAGCATTTTTTTAATTAAATGCATTTTTTAGCTTTCTTTTGTAATTTATGATGTGAAGATTCTCTGTAAGGTAATATAAATTAAGTGCCAAATATTTTTATGTTAATTTTTATTGTTATCTCTCTCTCTATATATATATATCTGCGTGCATTGTAATTTTGCTCATAAAATATGCATATTTAATTTTAAGCCAAAGATGAGAATGATCAAGTTGAATACTTATAATGCAGCAGTTATAAAATTAAAATTTTATAGCATGATATTTGCTGATAATTTTTTGTCAAATTCTGTCAACATGGTTCATCAGTCGTACAGTTTTGTCATTAAATTTTTATATCTGTAGCAGTTTTTTAAGGTAATTATTTATATCTAAAATATTGTTGCACCTGCAATAAAAAGAGGGATTCATTTATCCGTTACTAGAATACGTTGTTGATGTTAATATCAGTATTTGTAAAGTTGGAAGAGAAATTGGTAATACTATCAATGTAAGATTTATGTTGTTGATGATGAAAGTAATTATGCCATATTAAATAGAGGGAGCTGCAGTCATTGTGTGAAAGCAAGACTGTAAATATGATATATTGCCTCTGATATTCTGTGATGATTTCTAAGCACATGTAGGGAATTAAGACTTCTTTCCTGAAATTTTGTGTGTAGACTGTAAATGGAAGTTTGTAATCGAAAAAGGATTAATAAAAGTGAAAAAAGAAAAGTCATTGGAAAATCTTGTAACTTTGTTGAAATGAGAGAGTATTATGGTTCCAAATAGATTCTTTAGATAAAAGAAGAGATGTTATGAAATTGATAAGTGTAAGGATGAGTAGTTTGATCTATATATATAATATGGGAAGTGCATGTGTTTACATGTATAATATATTCATGGATGATGAAATTAGCTCACAAACAAGAAGAAATTGGATAGAATTGAAATTTTGGGGCCATAATGATGGAAATGAATAATCTCCATGATCGTAAAAATTGAGCAGCAGGACAATTACAGAGTGGTGTTCTGATATGCAATAAGTCAGCTTCAGTAATATATTGCACTGTATCATGCTGCAGGTTGATCTGCTGTAAAGTCAGTTGACCGTTTGGTCTGTATCAAATGGATCTGTGCTTATTGGAAGGTGGCTGCAATGTCTGAATTGTTTTTTTCAACTGCTCCTATGCATCTTGATAAGGGATATTCATATCATTTAACCATGATAATGTCTGGGCATAACGTTTGCAACCCTTAAGCAAACTCTGCTGTGTGCAGCAAAACATAATCCTACTGGAATGTTGCACCTAGAGTCGTTCAGAAATGAGAGCATATGAAACTGTGCAATTTCATCAATGTATGCTAAGACATCAGTGTTCTACATGACGTTACTAAAGTAAACAGGCTATTGTAAATTGTTGCCCTTCAAACAATAATTAATGTCTACGTTAGGGAGAGTATATTGCTTCAGGGCTTTTTTGCGATTTTGTCATTGGCCAAGAGACCTCCACAGTCGAATATGATGATCATTGGTTCCCGAAAACAAAGTGGCACAGATCTGAACACCGCACATCACCTGTCTGCTGTACTTTGTGTTGGTGTGGGCTGGCATCATTGCAGACAGAGCCATCAATGTTCGGTGGTTGATAGCAGTATACATAAAAAGACACTAGGATAACAATTTTGCTTCCACAAGGCATCTAGAAATCATTTGTTGGCATGCAAGAACTGTTATATGTGTGTGCATTGTGGACTAAATTACCAGAGCATCCTTTTGAGCTTGGTGCACTGTCCTTTAGTTCAGTGCTTCGCAACCTTTTCTCACCTGCGACGCACAAAAAATCTTTCTGGAATTTCGTGGCACACCAAAGAGTTCCGAGTTATCAAGGAAGTGCCGAAAAAATTCAACTGCTGACACACTTACAATCACACACACAACCACACGACAGTGAAATTTATAAAAACATTTAAAATAGACATTATTAAGGAAAAAAAAAATGTCATTGTGTATTAAATACATGATAAAAAATTGCAAAATGTCAAATACATGTATTTGATTGCGGCACACCTATATCCTACTCATGGCACACCAGTGTGCCGTGGCACACCGGTTGAGGAGCACTGCTTTAGTTCAGTTTTCGTGTGGTTTCCTGGTCTGCCCAGATCTGGCCCACTATTACATATCCACTGCTTGCAGTACCATTGGACAACATTATCATAATGATTTATATGGAGCATCCTCTTGTAATTTTTGGCCACTTCATAAGGTCTGTCTTGAAGCTTGAGAGCCCGAATCCATATCTCTATCATCTACCTTGCATTCTTATTCTGTACTCTTGCTTGCAATGGTCAATGCTTTTCTTATCCACTAGGCATGGACTACATGCCACTTTGTGTTTGCAATGCCATTGTTGGGTGCATGGTTATGTGCAATCACAGCAAACTTGTATCATTCCTCACTGCACTTTAGCTATTTACATAGTTTTGCACTTGTTTGTTTTCTTGTCTGTCTGCAAATTTCATTGTCCATAAGAACATTTATTTGTTCTTTCTACATACAAGTTGAAACACATCTAAACCATGCATATTTTACACTTTAGATTATAAATCACCTGTCAGTCATGTTTTGCAAATTATTTCACATTTCGATAGTAGTGGCAATTATTTATTAAAGCGAGAGCTCCAATGAATACATCCCTCCCTATAGTTCGATGACTGTCATGTATTTTGCTGTAGTCAGTTCAACAAATGTTACTTAATGTCTGTCAGTTTTCGTGAGTTAGTATTACCTAAAAAAATATTCCTAGCATAATTATAAACTGGATAAAAATCTGAGTTAACCTGTATTTTTTAATAAATAAAAACATGGCCATTGTTTTCAATATTATGATTCATTGCATGTTGATCGCCTTTGCTTATTACAAAAATGTAAGATTATTTTAACAATTAGTCATAGAGTGCATCACACAGTCAAGATATACTCATGAGTGATTCGATTTTACCTTGAAAAGTGAAAAAGAACATGTAAAATATACAAGAAGCAACATCGTTAATTTGTATTTTTGCTATATATCGTATTTACTCGTATATTCCCTCTTTCTTATTAATTTTGTCATTTTATTGCTTGAAAACGGAGAGTTAATATAGTGTGTACTATTTCTGAAGACGCAGTTTTAGTGATAAACGTAGCACATTAAAAAGCTCACATAAAGACACACTGATATTATCATGTTATGTATTTCAAAGAATTTATCAATTTGAATAATATTATTTTTACTTATGAAAAGTGCTTTCCTATTTGTACATATATTTTTACATTGTTACCATAAATCAGAAGTTCCTAAACCATATACTGAAAAATACAGGTGGGAGAGGATATTTGAGTAAATACTGTAAACCTAATTTAGCAATATAAGTTTTCCACGTGTTGCCCAGTTTTATATTAGCTGGTAAATATGCCTAAAAGAATTTTATGCTATTTGACAACAGAGTTCGTGCAATAATTAGATATTTTTTAGACAAACATTTTTATCTAGTGTTAATGTAATCTTTGCCATATTCCTAGACATCTGTGCAGTATTGTTCTGTACTAGATAATGTTTTTATAAAACCATATTTTAAATGAAGATATTTTTCAATTAAACCTGATTTATTTTAACAGTAGGTTAAGAGTATCATGTTTGAGACATAAAAATTACGAAGCTTGACATGGCTTTCAAAAAAGATTGCTCCAGGACTTTTCTTTCCCTCCTTGATCCTAGTCTTCTATTTTCAGTTACAGAGTCTGTCAAACGATGCCCTTCAAAAGAGCAAACAATATTCTGCCTGAATTGACAGAATATTTTTTCTTAGCTTCCATATTTGTGCTAGCGTTTCTTTTAAAACCGTATTCTTTTTGTTTTTAATATAGCTTAATTGCAGTAATAAAATTAACTGACTGTTTTATGTTGGCCAATTTAGTCTTTGAAATCTATTTGTTATCTTACTTATTGTGTGGTTTAATAAGTTGTCTTATAAAAGATTTCTATTTAAGCATAGAAGTCACAAGCAGATTTCAAAGTTTGAAGTTGTGAATTTTTACCTATTGACTGCTGCAACTTTTGTGTTCAAAACCAAAGATAAATAGTGTTAAAATATTTCATGTATTTAAAAAAAATAAACAAGTGTATTGATGTTGATTTTTGCATGCGAATAAAAAAAAAATTGTGTGTCTAATTGAAAAATTTTTCTTTTCTGCTGTTTCATACTTTCTGCTGTGTCTTATCACAAATATGCAGTCGAACATCAAGTAACTGGGAATGTAATTCGTATGGATGTTCGAAAAATCTGGAGCGATTGCAAATTTTCTGTAGGTTAATTATGTATTTATCTCAACATAACCGACTTCCTTCCTGCCATTTTATTCTACTTTACTTTAAAATGATGCAGTTATAGATTTTTCGTTTCCAGAAAGAAGTATACATAACAATATTTGGGCAAATAATTTTACACAGTCTATTTCTGTTTCAACTAAAATAAAACAGCAAAATTCGTTTTTGTTGACATGAGTCCTAAAACTAAACATATTTGCTTATATTTTTGCTACATCAAAAGATCTGATGTGGGCATCCCATAACTTTCTTGCACAGCCTATTAAATTACAGACATTTTTTGCTGCTCTTCATTTAAACTTATTTCCTCGGATTATTCTAGCATAATTAACTGATAACTCAAAACAAGTTGAAATAACAATAAAAATTGCACATTTTGAAATTAAATATCGGTTTTTCTCTTACAAACTTTTAATTTTATTTTTTCATAAGGAATATAAGAATAGGAACCTGGAGACCGCATTACAATTTAGATTTCATTTGTCGAAAAGAATTTTTTTTTTAATTTGACGTTACCAAAACATGAATGTTTTCGTCATTTAAAACACTTCTGTTTTTTGCTAAAATTATTTGAAAGTAAGAAAGACGTGACTTTTTTCCCGGTCCTGCACAATGAAGGGAAAGGAAAATAAGAAGTTCGCCAAGCAAGCTATTCTTGGCGCAAATTGAAAAAAATCCTCCAAGCTAAATTTTTGAATTTCTCCGTAAATTTCGCACCAAATTTTACATTATGAACAATAACTTTCCAAAAAAGAAAAGGAAAATAGGATGCTATAAATTAAGAAGTTCGCCAAATGAATTATTCTTGACCCAAACTGAAGAAAATGTACCAAGATAATTTTTTTTAATTAAAAATTACAAAATTTAATATCTAGGGATAATTTGAGTGGTATAATCGAAATATGAA